GGAACCCCAATTGCCACCTGTTTTAACCAAAATTAGCTCTCCCCGGTGATCACCAGAGACATTTGGAGTTCTCGGGGTCGGGCAGTCTGGCTGGGAGCTGTACTCAAAGTGTAAAAGGACACAATTTCCGTGTCACTCAATGACTTGTGTGTGACCTGAGCAAATTACTTAATATCTTGGAGTTTTCCCATCTGTAGAGTGAGGGCTGAAAGCATTACTTCCTTCTCAGGATTGTTCTGAAAACCTACTGAGATGATATACATAGCACACAGAAGGTGTTCAATAAATGGGGGTAATTATTCATTGAAGGTCTCTTCAGACAGATATCTTCCTCTCCTTTAGGAGCCGCTACCTCCGGGCAAACACAAGGGCTAAGTGGGACTTTTTGCCAGTGACACTCCATTTCCTTTCACTGAATAATTTAGGAGCTTATCTTTTAGTTGCTAGGTTCATATAAAAACAATTGTGCAAAAAGCTTTATCCTCTATGCAAGCAAAAGGTCAAACTTGACTCATAACATCCAGAGTTCCAATCACATGGGAGAAGCGGTCATGAGGAAGTCAGTGGTCAAATGAAGACACAGTTTAGTGTCACGGGCCTGGGAGGGGTGTTCCAAGAAATGAATTGTTCCTCCTTTAGAGAGGGTTTTGAAGGCCTGTAAGACAAATGAAAACCCCAATAGCTCAGGATTAAATGTAGTACTTGCCCTCCACTGCTGTGAAAGGCAATCCTATCCTTTCTCTTTCAAGATGTCTGCATTAGAGGGAGTTACAGAAATGTGTGGGTGAGTGGAGGGACATGAAGAAAGGAGCTTTTGAAGTGAAAAACATGAATTAAGGGCACCTTGAAATCAAGTATGTCTTCAGTGACCCCAAATTTCATGTTGGGTGCTAAGTGGCTCTTTTTGTGCTCTTTACTGGGGAAATAAAAATGAAGCCTCTCCATTAAAATTAGACCTAACTATTTTGTATACATAAGGAAGAGACGAGAAAATGGGGTACTTTATGGTTTAGAGATGGAATTCTATTTTTCTCCTTTTGATTTGTTTGCCCATCAGATTCAGGAGAAGTTAGAGGGAGAGATAAGGGAAAATTTTAGATGCATAGAATCACGAGCAAATACGTGCACAACCCTGTTTTCCTTTACCAGAAACTCCAAACTCAGGACCATTCTGTCTCATAGTGACTCTAGGACAAGGCCGGACTGTCCCTGTGGGCTTCTGAGACTGTAAATTTTCACAGGAGTAGAGAGCCTCATCTTGCTCCCCTGGAGTGACTGGTGGTTTCGAACAGCTGACCTTGTGGTTAGCAGCCCAACACCTACTCACTGTGACACCAGGGACACTTCTGTTTCTATTTAGACATCCTCTTTTTGTGTGTGTTTCCCTGGTTTTGTTGTCAGTTGCCTTTAAGCCAGCTATAACTTAGGGTGACCCCATGTAAGACACTGAAATGGAATCCAGTTCCACACCACCTTCATGATTATTGCTATGTTTTAGCTCTTTGTTGCCACGATTGCATCAATCCATGTCCCTGAGAATTCCTCTTGCCTCCCCTTCTCTACACTATCAAACATGATCGCCTTCTCCATTGTTCAGTCCCTCCCAATGATTTGTCTAACGAAAGTAAGCCAATGTTACAGGAAATATTCTGAGATCCAGAGTTTTCATTGGCTGATTTTCAGAAATAGATTGCCAGGCCTTTTTTTCCTACTCTGTCTTAGTGGAAGCTCCTGTGAAAACCTATCCACCATGGGTCACCCTGATGGTCTTTGAAATACTGATGGCATAGCTTCCAGCATCATAGCAACGTGTAACTCACCACAGCCCAACAAAGGGATAGATGGGTGAGGGATAGATGGGCAAGGGATAGATAGGTGGTGGGCGTGGTAGCTCCCTAGTAGTATTGAAAAGTACAGACTTGATGTCAGACCCACAGAGTTGAAGGAAGCTATGTCCTAATTTTAAAATTCACCCAATACAAATATAGTTCCTTCTATTTTAGGAGATATAAAATTGAATATACATGGAAAAAGTTGAATATAGATAAGCGTCCTTTATTTTTTTCTTTGAACATCACATTTCATTGGTAAATAATATGAGCTTTATTATCCCAGTAGCATGTGTTACAAAGTCCCAGTGAGGTGTTCACCCTTCTCTCAGAACTAAGGAGAAGACTCCACAGTGTTTGTTGGCACCTTTTTCTCACATCACAGCAAGTGAGAGGAGGGTTGGCTATGCTGAAGTTGTCAATCTGGGACGCTTCAGCTGGCTACAGTCTACCTGCACCAAGTCTAGCAGGGACTTCAGTTGGCTTCAAAACATAGCCACCAGAGCCATATACTCCCAAGTCTCTAAACAGACAGAGATCAAGCAATTAGGCTCTAGGCATGGAACCCCATGTTCAAACATTCAGCATCCTGTGCTCAGCAGAAGCCTAACCCAAGCTGGGACAGGGTTTCCCGGTCCAAGGAACAAGGGGAAGCCCCCACTGCTTCCAACACCTGCACAGTGGAGAGGAAGTGTCCAGAAGGGAAAGGGCCAGCCCTTTTACCCATTTTCCCATTCCCGGAAAATTAGTAGGAAGGACTGATTTGTCAGGAAGGGTGTCATGTGCAAAAGGGGACTCCTGGTGTCCAGAAGACAGCAAGGGAGAGGGTCAGTAGTAGATGTTTGAGTAAAAGGAAAGGGACCCAGGAGGCTGTTGTGCTGTGTCAGTGATGTAATGCTGACTTGAAAGGACTCCTAACTAGAGCTATGGGGGCTGACCTTTGCCATTGGAGTGAAGAATGGTCCCACGCAGGTGTACGTTCTGGAGTCCCAGACAGCAAGTCACCAATAAACTTGTGATTTTTCCAACCTGTGTGTCTCTTCAGTCAAGCTGGGCCTTAACTTATGGCCACTGATTCCTCTGGGGAGAGAGATCGAAATAGCTTTGCAATATGCTTCCGGAAGGATCCACAAACTAGGGCACGAGAGGGAGCTGGTGCTGGAGTTGGTTAACATGTGTACAGCTCGTCCAACTGTGTGCTGTTTTAGGCTGCTTTCCTTGGACAGAAGCCCCCAGTGGCGAGGCCCCCAAATGGTTCTTATGTATTGAGTTCCCCTGGAAACTTTGAGGCTACACAGATCCCTGCAAAGATTGGACTTCACACTTTATTCAACCCTGATTTTGTGGTGAAAATTGTTTGTCTAGATCTATAATTTCCTTGACTTAAATCACCCAGGGGCTTTCGATTGCCTTAAAAAAATAAATCATTTAAATAGGGACCTCTTACAGCCTTAAAACAACCCAGATGTAAATTGTATCAAGCATATTTGTACATATGTTGCCATCATTATTTTCTAAACATTTACTTTCTATTTGAGCCCTTGGTATCAGCTCCTCTTTTTCCCCTCCCTACCCCCCTCCGACCTGTGACCCCTTGATAAATAATAAATTATTATTATTTTCATATCTTACACTGACCGCTGTTTCCCTTCCCCCACGGTTTCTGTTGTGCATCCCCCTAGAGGTGGTGGTGGTGATGTGTCCATCATTGTGATCAGATCGGTTTCCCCCTTCCTCCCCTCATCTCCCCACTTTTCCCCTACCCTCCCGATATCGCTACTTCCATTCCTGTTCCTGGATTCTGTGTGTCCTGAGCTTTTTTTTAAATTTTATTTTTTAAATCATTATATTGAAGACTCGTACAACTCTTATCATAATCCATCCATCCATCCATTGTGTCAAGCACATTTGTACATTTGTTGCCATCATCATTCTCAAAATATTTACTTTCTATTTGAGCCCTTGGTATCAGCTCCTCATTTTTCCCCTCCCTCCCTGCCCTACCCTCCCTCATGAACCCTTGATAATTTATAAATTGTCCTGAGCTCTTATCTCTTATCTGTACCTGTGTACATGCTCCAGTCTAGCCTGCAGTAAAAGGCAGGACTGGAGTCATGATAGTGGGGCGTGAGGAAGCCTCAAGGAACCAGAGGAATATTGTGTGTTTCATCGGTGCTATACTTCACCCTGGTTGACTCATGCCTTCCTTGTGCCCCTTCTGTGAGGGGATGTCCTATTGTCTACAGATGGGTTTTGGGTCTCTGCTCTGGCCCCCCTCATCTCAACAATATGGCTTTTTTTGTTTGTTTAGGATCCTGTCAACATCTCATGACCACACAGGCTGGTGTGCTTCTTTCATGTGGGCTTGTTGCTTCTTTGCTAGATGGCTGATTGCTTAACTTCAAGCCTTTAAGACCCCAGATGCTACATCTTTTGATAGCTAAGCACCATCCACTTTCTTCACCGCATTTGCTTATGCACCCATTTTGCCTTCAGCAATAATGCTAGGAGGGTGAGCATCTCAGAATGGCAGGTTGTTAGAACAAAGTGTTCTTGTGTTTAGGCAGGCCTTGAGAAGAGGTCCAAAGTCTGTCCACTACCTCAGTGTATTGAAATACATGGTACATGGGCCAATACCTCTATTTTTATGAACTAATATATTTACATATGTACATGTCTATGTATATACCTCTATCCATAGCTGTGCTTCCTAAATCTTTCTCTGTTTACTTTTACCTTCCTTCTGCCCCACCATCACGCTTGCCTTTCTTTTGCCTCTTAGTACTTCCTCTCAGCTAGATTGCTATTGCTCCAACACCCCAGGATCTCTACGTCCTCCTCATTGTTGATATTAATTCCCTAGTTGTTTCCCTGTCTATGGCGTTGTTTGCTCACCACAACCTTTCCCCACCTCCTCCTCCCCCCTAGTCCCTCCAGGACCTTTAGTCCCGTTTCTTTCTCCTTGAGGTTTTCCCCCCATGTCTATCTTATATAGGTAGGCAAAATCAACAATAATGGAGACAAAACAAAAGATTGAATAAAAAGTGAAAAAAGAAAAAGATAATAATAACTAGGGACAAAAAAAGAAAACCGCTTTTTCTCCGCTGAAGAGCAGCATCATCTGGTGTGTCGGAGCTATCCGGTGCCATCCTTGTCGCTGTGGCGACCGCGGCACCTGCCGCCGCCATGACTGAGCAGATGACCCTTCGTGGCACCCTCAAGGGTCACAACGGCTGGGTAACGCAGATCGCTACCACGCCACAGTTCCCCGACATGATACTGTCTGCCTCGCGAGATAAGACCATCATCATGTGGAAACTCACGAGGGATGAGACCAACTATGGCATTCCCCAACGTGCTCTGTGTGGTCACTCTCACTTTGTGAGTGACGTGGTCATCTCTTCTGATGGCCAGTTTGCGCACTCAGGCTCCTGGGATGGAACACTACGTCTCTGGGATCTGACAACGGGCACCACCACACGCCGCTGTGTAGGCCAGACCAAGGATGTGCTGAGTGTGGCCTTCTCCTCTGACAACCGGCAGCTTGTCTCTGGCTCCCGAGATAAAACCATCACGCTGTGGCTTACTCTGGGAGTTTGCAAGTACACGTACAGGACGAGAGCCACTCTGAATGAGTGTCCTGTGTGCATTTTTCACCCAACAGCGGCAATCCCATCATCATCTCCTGTGGCTGGGACAAGTTGGTCACGGTGTGGAACTTGGCTAATTGCAAACTGAAAACCAACCACATCGGCCACACAGGCTGCCTGAACACTGTGAAGGTCTCTCCAGATGGAACCCTCTGTGCTTCTGGAGGCAAGGATGACCAAGCCATGCTGTGGGACCTCAGTGAAGGCAAGCACCTTTATACCCTTGATGGAGGCAACATCATCAACGCCCTGTGCTTCAGTCCCAACCGCTACTGGCTCTGCTGCACAGGCCCCAGCATCAAGATCTGGGACTTGGAAGGCAAGATCATTGTGGATGAGCTGAAGCAAGAAGTTATCGGCACCAGCAGCAAGGCCGAGCCACCCCAGTGCACCTCTCTGGCCTGATCTGCTGATGGCCAGACTCTGTTTGCAGGTTATACAGATAACCTCGTGCGAGTATGGCAGGTGACCATCGGCACTCGGTAGAAATGTGTGGCGCAGCTTTTTTTCAAATTCAAAGACTGGCTTTCTGGAAAAAAAAAAAGAACACCAAAAAAGCATACATAATTCCAGGTCTGTCCACTGACCTTTATGACTATCTCCCCACTGGTCCTGGGGGAATCTATTGCCTTTCTATTTCTATATCATCCTAACCTTCTTTACTATATTTTTGTCTCCCCCGCTTTCTATCAGTTTCTACTACTTGAACACTCCTGCCTTTTTCCCACTGCAGCGACTTGGCATCATTTCTCTCTTCTACTTGAAAAGTTCTTTCCTGAGATCTTTGAGGGATGGTTCCTACTCATTATCCAATTTGCTGGGCCTAGACAGTGCCTAATATATACTGATACCAAAGAGACACTGAGTTGCAGTGGGGCAGAGTGTAGTGGAACAACTGTGTTTGGGGGTGGAGATGAAGGTAAAGGCTTGGATGGGAGGAACTGTGTCACTAGAAGGAGCAGATATGGGGCAAAATGAGCAGGAGATGGGTAGTGAGTTTCCCTGGGGTTTTAGCTATTATTCAAGGGGCAGAATTGAGACACATGGCTGGGCTCCAGTGCTGGGAATTCACTAATAGGTGCAGTTTTAACCTAAAGCAAGGAGGAAACACCTGGGCAAGCTCATTTATTATCATGATCTAAGAAAGCCAAATAGCAGCCCTTGGGATTGCTAGGGAGAGCTCTATTTACATTTTAAATCGAGGGACTGATTATTAAATAATCATCTCTTCTTAGCTTATCTCCATCCTTATCTCCTTCCCACACTTGATTGGAATAGGTACTTCTGCTTTGCATACTCACAGTCCTTTGTACATCTTCCCATCAAGACTTTCATGGCAGTGAACCGTGTTTGGCACATCTGAGCCTGACCTCACCTGTGTGAGTTCCCTGAGGGTATGGGCCCCATCTCTAACTGGGTGTCTGGCAAGTGCTAGGTGTTTGTTGTTGTAGGAATGAATACAATGTTCTCTGACCCTCATTCTGGCTTTCTCTGGTCTTGCCATACTTAATCATTCCTATAGCAGTATGGGGGCAATTACTCTGCATCAAACCTTCTGATTGTTGCTGGGGCTACAAAGGCAGGAAGAGACCTTTCTTTTCCCTATCAGTGCTCATCGTCTATTATAGGAGACAGAACAGCTAGCAGGTTATTACAACGTAGGGTGGGAAGTGCTAAGAGTGAGAAAGTAAAAGATGCTCTGGGGACAGTCTGTGCAAAGGTCTGATGGGAAAACATGAAACTTGAGACATCCCTGTTTATAACCTGACCTTCCCCCAATCTCTTCTTCACTTTCCCAACCTTTCCAGTGTGCCTTCAGAATGTTTGCTGCATAATCTGTACCTCCTTTATTTTTCTCCTCTTCTCCAGGAGTTCTCAACATGAGCTGGAACCAGGCTCACCACTAAGGCTCCAGCAGTTTGTCCCTAAAACCTTGAAAAGCGACTTTGTATGTTGTTCTCATTTCTCCCCACTGATGCATCCAGACCTGTAGGCCCTGGGCTTGTACGTATATACAATGGAGCTTCAAAAAGTTTATTAATTTCATTTTTCTGTGAATTTTTCCCCAAGCCATTTATCAGGAGCTCATCCAAACACCATACCATTTCCATAGTTCAAGCATATCAAGCTGTGTTGTACCATTGCTACCAAAACCAGTTCAAGACATTTTTTTCCTTTTTGAACTCCTTGATAACAGCTCCCCTTACACACCCCACCCTCCACCACCACAAACTCCAGTAACCATTATTCTAGCTGTTGTTTCTATATATTCACCTATCCGGGGTGTCACATACCGAAAAACATAGGAAAAAACATAACAAACAGTCAAGAAGGCTACCAACAATGACAAAATACAACAGAGATAAACTCTAATATAAAAAAAATACAGAAAATATTAAAAACTAGGTCAAGCTCAAAGTGTGTGAGAAGGGAGAAGAAGTGACAAGGTTTTAACTGTTTAAGTCATATTTATCCATTTAATTGACTGTAATGGTCTCTACAGTACTCTCTGTCTGATGACCAGGTTATTTCCATACTTCAATTATGGTTCAAGGGAAATCACCAGAGGTTTATTCCCTGTGTAGGTCCTGAAAATGTAATTTGAGCTTCCACTGTTATCCAAAGTCTTCTGTACACCAGAATTTCAGATGGACTTTAGGCCTCTACTCAACTACTCAACTATGCATGAACATTTTGTTCTATTAAGCTCATATTCTATGATGTTCACCTTCCTGACATGATCGCTGAAGACAAAGTGGGTGGATAATCAAATGTGGTGAAGAAAGCTGATGGTGCCTGGCTATCGAAAGATATAGCGTCTGGGCTCTTAAAGGCTTGAAGATAAACAAGCAGCCATCTAGCTGAGAAGCAACAAAGCCCACATGGAAGAAGCACACCAGCCTGTGTGATGACCAGGTGTCGAAGGGACCAGGTAACAGGCATCAAAGAACAAAAAGTCATATCATTGTGAATGAGGGGAAGTGCGGAGTGGAGACCCAAAGCCCATCTGTATGCAACTGGACATCCCCTTACAGAAGGGTCGAGGGAAGGAGATGAGCCAGTCAGGGTGCAGTACAGCATCGATGAAACACACAACTTTCCTCTACTTCTTTAATGTTTCCTCCCTCCCACTATCATGATCCCAATTCTACCCTACAAATCTGGCTAGACCAGAGGATGTACAGTTTTGGGGCCCAAAGCCCCTTTTTTGGGCATTTGACATCCCCTTACAGAAGGGTCGAGGGAAGGAGATGAGCCAGTCAGGGTGCAGTACAGCACCGATGAAACATACAACTTTCCTCTACTTCTTTTATAATTCCTCCCCGCCACAATCACGATTCCAATTACACCTTACAAATACAGCTAGACCAGAGCATGTACACGGGTACAAATAAGACCTGGAAACACAGGGAATCCAGGACAGATAAACCCATCAGGACCAATAATGAGAGTAGCAATTCCAGGAGGGTAG